GCCCTGCCCTCTGGTTCACGCTGCTCTGTGGTGGACCTGCTGAGTCCTCCTGCAGCAGCATACCAATGCTGTGTTTTCCTGCTCTGTCTGTTCCAAAGCCCTGCCGTAGCGCGTTTCCCCATGCTCAGAATAACAATGCAGTCTTATCAGCAACTTTGCTGAAGATATAAAAAGTTGCTTAACTTGTTGTGTAAACAAAACACATCTAAGGGTCTTACTTACAGAGCGACAGTGTTGTGTAGAAAGCAATCAAACACATTGTGGTCATTCGTGTGCTGAATGAGATCCATCAAATCTGCAAGTAAACTCTATCTGTATCAAAGCCACCAAGCAGTGGAGACTAAGACGAGGATTACAGGGCTAAGGAATGAGCTATTGATTTTCTAGCTGGCAGATTTTTGGTAAGCAGTGTTGAGGTTTTTTTAAGCCTCGAGTACAAAATTAAAAGATTTCTCTACTCAGAGCAAGCCACAATAGAGACCAGGCAACAATCTCCACTTCTGAAAAATGCTAATGCGGAAGTGCCTGAAACTTGCATTCTTTCTCATGGCCAGAATTTTTTCTTTGGGGCGGGGTCTCATCTGGTTGCAAAAAGATGTCCAATTCCATAGAAGTCTATGAAAAAACTATCAAATATCTCTTTTGATATATTACCCTTAGTAATCATTTTCAAAATAAGTGTATGATGCAGCATTTGTTTTAGGATAGGGTAATCTTGTGACAGGTTGCAACCACACTCAAACCCTCAAAGTGTGTTTTCAGTTCATAGAAGCCACTTGTTACAAGTTAGTCACTTACAGTAGAATGTCATGTTCAGTTTTGTAATTGCTGGTTTTTGCATTGCTCCACCCTCTTGTGTCACTCTGCAACAGCAAAACGTAAGACTATTATACCATTGTCAAAACCAAATGGTTGATTTGATGGTGACTACTTCCTATATACAGTCTATGAGAGAAACCAACAGCTGAAGAAGTTTAGTAAAAACTGCCCACCTTTACTTTTAAATCAAGCACATACAAAATAAAAATGTGTGTTAAGTTGTTTGCTCTAATTCAAAGCCAGTTTTGTCGGACCAAGTAGTACCGCCACACAGTTGTTTTCCGAACCTTTCAGCTGTTGAGGGAGCCCCCAGCCATATTGTCATAAACGCTGAGCCTTCAGCCTAAAGGGACAGGGGAGCAGGGGAGGAGAGGAGGGAGTGTTTTTGTGGTGAAATGATTACAGAGATAAAGATGAAAAGTGTCGCGTCCGTCCCCTGACAAACCAGAATGACGGCGGGGATAGGAGGCATCATTTGTTTTCACCAAGGAGGCACATGACACTATGTGGACAACTCATTGTCTCATCCCAATTAGGACAAGTTGGATTTTTGCTTCATATTCATCTCATGTTAGTCTTTTCCAAGGTTTGGAAACACCACCTGTTCATCAATGGGTTTGTTGGTGTTATCTGGAGCTGCAGCTTTTTATTAGAGGACTTTGTTTGGCTTAGTAGAGCAAAATAAATTATAAAACCTTCAATTATCCTTTGCGGCTGTTGCCTTCCAGGACAGGCCTATGGAGAATATCACGCTGCCACAGTGTAAACAAACTCTATGCTTTCCTGCTGCTCCATAGGACGAGCTTGTGTATAACTAGAACACTTTCCTTTCCCCATGCCGTTTAAAATGTAAATAGGCCCTGAAACCATGTAATCTGCCTCTGAACATTCTATTATAATTGAATAACAGAAACAGAGTTAAATATGTTGGTCATCAAGTACTCTCAATGTTTTTTTCGCCTGCCTAAAGTATCTACACTGAGCACTCTGAAAGTGTTCAATGAAATGACTATAGGAAAGGCCGTCATTAGTGTTGATAGACAACAGCATTGTGGCGGTAGGGCTGAAACAGCAGTGATTCCTATTGTTTTATAGTTGACTATGCTGCAAAGCCTCTTTGGGTGGTGTACACTATATTCAGCTTTGTTCTTAAAGTTATTAATCATAAGGCAGGACTAGCAGAATAGCAGTTGGTCAAGTTCTGAACCACTGCCCTTTCCTGATGTCAGAGCATTGCGAGCTGGCAGCCTTATCAGATCCATATACCACACTGAACCTTATCTGACTTTCAGAATAATCTCACATCTTCTGCTTTCATAGCAACCAACAAGGGTCATGTAGCAACGGAGCCACAGAGGGCTTTCACTGCAGAATATAACATCAAAGAAACAACATGCTGGACAAAACTCTTCAAAGAACATTGGCTCGCTTTGGAAACAAAGAAAGGTCGTGTGAAGTCTCAGGCACATTCATAGCAGCTGAACTGAACATATCTGGCTTCCTAAAATAAAGGTGAAACCTTTACCATGGAGGAAAAAAATACATTTCGCATTCAAGCAGTCTTATAAAAATGATTTTCCTATACAACAAATTAGAATTCTCAATCGTGTTTAAGGGAAAGGTATTCTCTCAGATTAAAGTGATAGTTAAAACACAAATGGATGATGTTTTAAATTTAAACTACACTAAAAAATAAGTATTTGTTACGTCACTTAAGCTACCTATGTAAATTAAGTCACATGATTTACTCTATGTAGTGTCTCTGCTGTGACATGTCTCCATGCTTTAATGTTCAAAAAGCTCTTTATCTTTCTCACACTGCCTGTGCTGCAGCACCTCTTTTCACCCTCTGTCTGAAACCAGAGCCCAGTCTGCTCTGATTGGTTAGCTGGCAGGCTCTGTTGTGATATAGTGATTTCACTATGTTACATAAGTAAACAATGGAGGCGTTTCAGGGTGTGGGAGGAACTTTGGGATTGTAGCCCTTGCAGACCATTTACATGCACAGAAACCTACATAACACACTACAGGAAAGGGAAAACCTTTAAAAAGCATAATAGGCCTTTTTAATAGTAGACCAGGTTGTCACATTGTATGCGCACAAGTTAAAAGGGTACAGTATGCTCTGTCGTATCTTTGTTAGCCAATAACTATTTGGATTGAAGGTTCTGTATTCTATCTGTAGGTGGTTGTAATACTCTTGTTGGACATTGATTTTTGTCATTTTAGTCCTTTCTCAAGTACTGGAAAAAGTATTTTGTTATGTTCAGCTGACGGGGTTGCATTGATTGTCCCTGTAGCTCTACAGTCCCTGATCAGATGTGGCCGTAGATCTTTTAACAGCATTCAGTGCAATCTTTTAAACCACTGATTGCAGTGCATGGACCCAATCAAAGAAAATAATGCATCTGGGGCCGTATTCACAAAGGATTTTAGGGCTAAAAGTAGCTCCTAACTGGCGAATTTAGGAGAAACTCCTAAGCATAATGGGCGTGTCAGTCTTAAATTTAGGACTCCTAATTGTATTCACTAAGAGCAATTCACAAAGTATTTTAAGCCTAAAAGTAGCACCTAAGTCTGGGAGAGCTTAAAAGTCCTCGAGAGGACTCCTAACTCAGTAAAACCTATTCACAAAGAATCTGAAAATGGCTGAGAGACTAAATGTTTTGGAGACAATGGAAGACTGTGAATTGATCAAGAGATATAGGCTAAATCGTGAGGGTATCAAACTTGTTGTGGAATTAGTGCGGGATGCAATAAAATCCCCGACTAACAGGAATAACCCGATTAGTCCGGAAATAAAATGTTTGGCAACACTACGATATTTAGCAACAGGGAAAATGCAACTTTGCAATGCCGACGATTTAGGAATATCGCAACCATCAGTCAGCTGTGCCATAAACCAAACCATCAACGCGCTCTCTAGACCACATATCATCCAACAGTTTATCCGGTTTACAGGATCAAAGCCAACTTCATGGCAATGCAGGTATGCCCGGTGTGGTCGGTGCTATTGACGGGACGCACATAAAAATAATTGCGCCATCAAAAGATGAGGACGTGTTCGTCAATAGAAAGAAGAGTACATTCCATCAACACGCAGATTGTTTTCATTCATCATGATAGGGGGACTTGAACGGCGGTATGGGCTGTTATTGAAAGTGTTTAAGTGCTGGAAATATGCTCATTGGATAATAGGTTGCGGGGTGCTTTTAATTGCCTCCTCGATTTAATGCAATTTACGTATTTGTATTGTTTGCTCTCTCTCTTTAACGTGCATATACAACGTCATTATCGTGGTCTGCACAAACTTGTCATCATGTGTGTATTCTGCTAACTGCACTGTCCATAACTATTTGATAGGAATACATTTCTAGCCTAGGCTATTTCCTTGTTTTTCGGTGATTTAGTGGGCTCGTTTGTGGGATGTTGCGGATGAGTTTCACCGAGACCGCCTACTCTGAACAACCAATCACCGTACTGACCGCTTCTAAACTCATGCACGAGAATCGACGTCATCCATAGCAACGGCGCGTCACTCTTAGTGATTTATCCTTAGTATGAGAAGGTCTCAGCGGCTTTGTGAATAACTTTTAAGAAAAAACTCCTACGTAAAATGTTTTAGTTAGGAGCACTCCTAGCGGTAAGATAAAATGCTTTGTGAATACGGCCCCTGTTCAGCAATTTTCCCGGGCAACCATGGGAACTCCTGCTTCTCCACCTTTAAATAAGGATATGTCTTTTTCCCCACCCCACAACAGTCATTATATTATTATTATTAAGTGATTGTCCCCTACTTAAAAAAAAAGCTGGTTTGCCTGGCAACTCTTTTAGAATAGTTTGAGGAGGGGAGCTACTAGAAAGCTTATACAGTACATTCTGTCCTGGGAAGGCTATGAGGTTGGAGGCTTAAAGATTCTCTGCATAACACCCTGCCTGAACCATCTACCCTATGATGGGATGGAGACAGGTAAAGATGGAGTTGCATGTTATGTATTCCACTCCCTCTGTATAGCCATCGGTGGTGCATATGAAAGCGTGACCCCTGCTGGTTGTTCCACATGTTCTGTACCACTGAGAGGTCTGCAGCCACTGTGCTTATACTGTGTCCTGTAGTGTTTGCTGCACATGAGGGGAATAAAGCACAACCAATCAATAAATTCATTGTATTTCTCTTCCAGCCAACGGTGAGTTCCCACCAACCAGCTCCACCATGCTGCCTTTCCTACGGACCAACAAGACTACCCCCCCGTCCATTCGAAGCCCTTTGAGCTTCCCCACCACAGATTGTAAGTGTGACCACGGTTCAACTGAGTGAGTGAGTAATGCTCGGATGGATTTATGGAGAATATTCTCCACATGCATATGTTTCTCCTTTTGTCTTTTCTACATTCTCTTTCAATCACACACGTGTGCTTGCTTGCATTAATGATTCATAATTACTCTACATGTGACGATCATGGCACCCCACACACAGGCTGCAAAGTAAGTGTGCCCCCTACTGGTCTGCACCGTATCTGAATGAGAGCTGCAGAGATCTCCTTGGCATTAAATGGAGCAGGACGGGCAGTTTTGAAGTCTAAAATCCTCCAATTTGTCTCCTGAGAATGTCAACGGAGCCACTTACACAGACTTGACATTTTCCACCTTGCACACTCGCACTTCCCTGCTTCAAAAGGGTAGACACAAGCACAGATTGCATTTCTATATTTTCAGTCATGAGTTGGAGATACTTTCAAATCAAACTTGCTCCTAGACATTTTTCTTCGGTTGTAGCTTTGAAGTGCAAGAGGTTCCCCAGACTTTAGGACTGGACGTTCAAATATCAGCCACTACCACTTTAGTCACTGTAAATATGTTTACCATCCTTTTCCTCTAAGCATTATGTGACAGCAGTTCACAGCAGTTATGCAATCGTTGAATACATATAAACTTTAAATCAGTTTCAATGACTTCAAGGACATGTTTTCCAGTCTAAATAGATGATTGGTCTGGACAGTGCTCCCACACTCCAGGAATACATTTCTAGCCTAGGCTATTTCCTTGTTTTAGTGGGCTCGTTTGTGGGATGTTGCGGATGAGTTTCACCGAGACCGCCTGCTCTGAACAACCAATCACCGTACTGACCGCTTCTAAACTCATGCACGAGAATCGACGTAATCCATAGCAACGGCGCGTCACTCTTAGTTCACTCTTAGTGATTTATCCTTAGTATGAGTAGGTCTCAGCGGCTTTGTGAATAACTTTTAAGAAAAAACTCCTACGTAAAATGTTTTAGCGCGAGTTAGGAGCACTCCTAGCGGTAAGATAAAATGCTTTGTGAATACGGCCCCAGGAGTGTAATTGCACTTTTCTCTCCCAGGAGGCACAATAGGTGTTATGACATTCATATGCTGTTAGAGCCAAGCAAATCAATGTGTGTAAGGTGCACAGGCTGTTTGCTATTTGAAAATGGTTAGTCATCACACATGTTTGTTAAGTTGCCCTTGAATACACAGCCAATATACCTCTTAAGCCTCAATCAAGGCGGAGTGGATTGTTAAGCAGTCCCTATTATGCTCATTCTTTAGGTTTCATAAAGTATTTTGTGCCTTTACTGTGACATGTTTACATGCTTTACAAAAACTGCTTTTTAATGTTATGTAGTGATGTCACTGTGTCGCGGAAGTAAACAAAGAAGTCCAATGGAGGTGTTTCAGGCGGGGGGTGGAGTGTGTGGGAGAGAAACTCCGTCTGGACTCCAGACTCTGGAGGAAACTTTGGGATGTTAGCCTTTGCAGACCATTCACACGCACAACAACCTATAGCACACTACAGGAGAGGGGACACACCAAAACCGCACACACATTTTAATGTATTTTTTAGTTATCCAAATAACATGAAGCTATAGCATATTTTGGATTAGACTTTGATTGGCGCTGCTAGACTGTACAGTAAGCCTGTGGTATTTCCCTTATAGCTAAATAGAGCAAAAGGAGAAATATCTGATTGATTAAAGACTAACTTGACTGACTATAACATCTGATACATGTCTTTTAGCAGTGTAATGCTAACTGGGTTGAGGAGCTATTGGAAGCCTGAGCCCCCTGACAGCCCCATAACTGACTGCACCACAGATTGAGCATTCCTTCTGCTGAACAAGCACTGATAAACACCCCGAACACACAGTGTCTGACTCAGAGAGGGGGTGATGGTCAGCCACCAATAGTCGACTCATTGTGTTAGGGTCCATATGTTTGTGCAGCGATTTGTCTGTTTGAATGTCCGTGAAGTGGGTCACTCTTTAGTCTGGAGCACAGAGCCGCCTGTTTGTCTCGAGGGACAAACGAGGACAGTGAATGATCGGATATTAATGTTTAGCCAGCTGACATGATTTGATAATGTTACAGGGTTATGCATTGAACTGGAGCCACCGACGTGACTCCTTCAGGCTCCTCAGTCTATCAAGGATGTTCTTTTATGTGGAGCAGGAAGGAAGCATTTGAGGAAACATTTCATACGCAGTACAATATTATATAAAAGGTGTTTCATTCTTGTGGAGTTTGCCAGCAGGATCTAGCAGCAGCAGCAACAAAGAGGCTATTTCAATGTGCTTACACAGGTAATACTCTGTATGGTTACAATAAAAGCGTGCAGCCTCGGGGAGAGATGGGACTGTGCGATCACAGCGCTCTCGCCCTTGTGATTATCATACATATTAACTCCGGGGCCAGAAAGAAGTTGAACTGGCAGTTATACATTGGCTGTTTCAAAGACAGCCGGGGGCGGTTTACATTCGCCCAGCGTTTCACGTCCCCCCCTGAAGCTTTGACGTCTGCAGGGCAGGACGCAATCCTGATGAGGGTTTGGCTCAACAGACCTGTCACTCCAACAAGAATCGCTTTTTTACCCGAAACGCTCGATGATTAACCCCACCATAACTCTCCTCTGACTCCCCCCTCCATCTTTCCTTTCTCTCAGCCACTATATTTGGGCCTCGCACTTTTTCTTCATTCATTTGTTCCCCATTTCCACCATTGATAAGCTGCTGAATACTGCCTGCTAGTTGACTACCGCCACCAAGACTTCTGGCACTCAGTCTGTTGTCCCACTTCTTCCTCATTCCTCCTTTTTCCTGACTTCCCCTTCATTCTCCTCTTTCTTCTTATTTCCTTTCCCTCTCATTGATTCACCGCTATTCTGGCAGCTTTCATTTCTCACCACTGCCCTAGTGTGTGGCACCCGCCTCTCACTGCTGACTCATCATTTGCTTTCGGAAGAGAGGGGCAGGGGGGGTGAAAAACTCAACCTAGATGAGCTGTCTTCCCTTTTTTTTGTGATTACCTCGCCTGATGGGAAAAGACTGCTTGGCTAACCTCAAAATGAGCTCCGGGAGTACATTTCTCTGGCCATTCACCGTTTGAGAGTGGGTTGACAAAGATAAGTGTGTTCATGTTATTTTAAGACAATAGTACTTAACAAAAAACGCTTCCATGATGCAACAAAGCATTGTCGTGTTTACACCTTATGTGCAAAATAATAGCAAGCTGTACAAGTATTAGCTGCTTTGAACAGACATCTGATTTTCATATCAATGTGTTCCACTTCCACAACACAACAAAAGAAAACAACAACAACAAACTGTTCTGTGGGTAGATGAAAATCAATAGAAATCTAAACAATCTGATTGGCTCTTGAATGTAACTGACAGCAGATGTTGCTCCTTGATCGCAGTGTGAACAAATGTAAATGATTTTTGGCCGTCACATGCTCGCTAATTAGCTGCAGAGTGGAGAGTCTGCTTCATTCTTTACTTGTTCATAAACACAGGCCCGTGGCAATCAGTGAGCTAGTTGTTGTTACTTTGTGTTGTTACTTTGGGTTTTAGAGGGGGAGCATTACTCACGCAGACAGATATGAGACTGATAACGAGCAGTGCCACGCAAAACAGGCTTTTGTAATTAATGGCACTCGGGTGCCTCGTAAGCTTTGTGCTTAGCATTCAGATCCATTCATGGCGTGCCAGCCTTGATCCATCTCTCTAATGGCCGGCCCAAGGAGGACAACTGTCAGTGGATAAGGAGGACACATGCTACGAGAGGAAGCAGCCCACACTGAGCTGCAGTTGTGTGTGTTGGGGGGTTCATAGTGAATTATGAACCACTTTAATTGCACTATTTGTAAGTGCTTTACTTTGAGAAAAAGACAGTAGAATCAAAAACAACAAGCAAAATATTTTTAGTCAGTGTTGGTTTGAGATTCGATTACATTTCCTTTTTGTTTCCTGTAGCAGGATCATTTTGCCCTGACATTTTTTCTTTTGATTAAAGCAATTGTACATTATGCATATTCACTGTCAAGCACAAAGGTCCTTCTCCAGCATACCTGTAGGAAGATGATTCTTAGCAGGCGTTCAGATCATAAACCGCTCCCTGCACACAGGGCTACATTGAAGCGGGTATGTTGCTCTAGGTACCGGTGAAAAAAGAATTACCATCCAGGAAATCTACTTTGAGTATCAGATCCCTGAGGTAAAATGAACACAGTGCAGCAGTTTGTAATAGCCAGGGACAGGATTTTACCCCGAAGTTACTGACAAAGTTTCTAATGCAGCAAGTATTTTATCTTTTGTCACGATTGTGTGCTAAACTGAGGTAAAAATGACCATGGATGGAAAATAATGTACTTTAAACCAAAACATGACACAAGAATGTGGACAAAGCATCTCAGACCCCAACCTCTCCATCAGGCCGCATGCCAACCACATCACCAAAACGGCTTTATTCTAGCTTAAGAACATTGCAGAAACATCATACATGCCATACATGACAATCCTGTCACAACCCTACTCCTAGCCTCAGGTCCAGAGATGAAAACACCCTAAAGACTACCAGAAAGCCCCGTACTTGGGTGTCAGAGCCTTCTCTGTTCCTGCACCCTCCCCACTCACATCAGACCGTCAACCACACTACCTTCCTGCCAAAAAGCCCTCAAAATCTACATCTTCAGAATTGCCTTTCGTATGGAACTCCCACCGCCCACATCTTAACTCCACCCAATCTGACTGCTTTCTGTCCTAGGGTTTCTTTGTATTTTCTCTAAATTAATTTAATTGCATCTTTTTTTTTTCACTAATATAGGCCTTTGTTTGTTTATTGTACTGTATGCTTGTACGGAATGTTTAGGTGTCTGAGTATTTAGAAAATCACTATATAAATGAAATCTATTATTATTTTAGATGCAACATAAAACCTAAGGAAAAATATAATAACGTTGATTTGACACCCTCTGGCTTACTGGTGGATGCAGTGTGACAGCCATTGAATGGCCTGATTACATTTGAAATGGTTGCTCAAATATCAGGTTGACACAACAGGCCTTCTTGTACCAAGTAATGATCACTTTTCACAGAAGCAACCGAGTATCATTGCCTCATTGTGCCAATTTAAAACCCATTCAGAGGCCATACGTCTGATAAAATGCTTGTTCATTTGGTACTGATTGGCACAAGGACTGCCTTGTCATTCCTGACATGTTTACTTTCATCTTGTATTAATAATGTTTGGCAGAGATAAGGACAGGCATTGCTTGGACATTGCTGTCAGTATTGTAAGCAAATCGTTGTTATTCACACTGCATCTCTTTCGTTCTCTCTCAATTGCTCACTGATGACAGTGTGCAGCTTCGCCCCATTATTTGATGAGGCTAGTGTTTGTTATGATGATGGCACACCACCAGTAGCAAAGTTCACAGTAAAGGTGATTCATATGATAGTCAGGCAGAGACGGAGCATCCCTGGGGAGGTTTGTGCGTATAAGTGCATGTGTGTATGTGTGTGTGTGTTCAGTCAGAGGGCGGATGAATGTGCCCACCACTTATTAGAGAAGACTATCATCTGTGAGAGCACATCTTGTTTTTGTTTGTTCTGCCAAGTACCTATCAGAGAATGGCTCATTAAACCACTTGGGTGGTGTGTGTGTGTGTGTGTGTGTGTGTGTGTGTGTGTGTGTGTGTGTGTGTGTGTGTGTGTGTGTGTGTGTGTGCGCATTAGAACTCACTCATATTGATGGACCAACAAGATCAATCAGCTGAGTTGAGGTGCGAAACCAACCGCACCTTGGGGAGACGGAGGGGGAAATCGAAACGGAGGACATTCGACTTCGACAGCGTCTGTCAAAACGTCAAGATCACTTTAAATAACAATAATCTTGTTTATGTCAGGTAGCCAATAAGTCTCCAAATAAAAAAACAAAAAGCAGATGCATCATTCACATCTAACCGTCAATCTTTTGTCCAGGCATGTCCTGTATTCAGTGAGTTGAATCTCAGTGCAACCTATTAGGAACAGTGAGATTTAGATCTAAAGCACCATTTGTCTACGGATGCTTTTCTGCTCCAGTGAGGGATTTATTGCCAGCAGTCTAAACTCTTTTTACCTTGTTGAGTGGTACAAAAATACTGACTTGAGGGATCAATTTACTTAGAGAGCCAGACAGAACTCAAGTTACCTATCCCAAAAGTTTTCTGTGTTGTAGTCTTTCTACAGTAAGTGCCTTCGCTAAGACCAGGCTGAACTCCAGATCGAATCATGTTTTCAAGCGTTTCCGAGAAGCCTGATTGAAATTGTCTCTGCTGGCAACACTTCATTAAATTCAAAAGAGATGTTTGTGGGGCTAAGGATGGAGCTGTGATGTCGAATCGTTTACCAGATGCCCCTGGAACCAACCAATCGTTGAGATCAGACTGAAAAATAAGTATGCTTGACATGCAGTCCATCCAGGAGCAGCCATGCAAACCCTCATTCGGACTGGCAGCCATAGAAACATGAACTTGGGATGAATGCTTTAAAATGATTCCAGACCAAAAACCATCATCAGTATACAATTGATGGGAGAATGGAGTTGCACACACATCCCCACACTCATGGCAAAAATGCCAGCTTCCTGCTGTAATTGTTTCTCAGTCAGAGCAAGTGGGCTTGATATCTGATCTCTGAGGCAGGCGACAGGAACAGCAGAAGGTGTTGTTGTGAGAGCATAATACGTTGAAGTAGCACTCCTGAGAATGGTCTCATGCCATCATGTCTACTTCCTGTGCATCTTGACACCATTTAATCAGTTTACTACCGCAAAAAGGAGATTTGACTGATTTACATTTGTTGATGCAGAATGAAAAAGTCATCTGTTTGAATGCGCATATCCTTTTTAAAACTACACTTAAGCATCTGATTCTTCGAAACTGGAAACAGTACAACCCCCACAATTAGTTTTGACTTTCTCTTTATTTTTTTACATCCATGTTTAATAACATAACATGTTCTCCTTTGTTATGTTTTAGGAGCCCGAGGTCAATGCATTGGCCTATTAGGGATGTGTGTGGGTGGAGGGAAAGTCAATTCAAGTGTTCATTATATGTATTGTATTGTTGCTGTTGTCATTGAAAAATCAATACAAATATATATAAAAGTACCTTTATAACAAATGGTGTTACTTCACATTGGGCATCAATTGAAGGGCTATCAAATCCATAATGGGAGCTGTTCTGTTGCAGGATTCACTTTGACTTTGCGCTGGTGTCAGATTTGCAGCCCTGCTCTTAAATTAATAAGTAGTCTCAGGCAGATGGAGAAGAAAAGGGAGAGAACGAAAGAGAGCTTCTTTTCTGCCATATGTCTTCCCCGCTGCTGTGTTCACAAGCCTTAAATCAGGTGCTGCAGCGGCGAGTCCTTCCACGTCCATCTGACAAGACTAATCTCGTGCTAATTACGGTGAAAAGAACTCTAATTAGCTGCGACACATGGGATTACACGGGAAATGAGGAGAAATGTTTGTTACCTGTGATCCTGTCACTACGTCCCCCGCTGTCGTTGTGAATATGATAAACTCAAATGAGTAGCTTTCACCTCGGAGCTTGCCTTCCCAGTATATAATCATTTTCTCCATATGTGTATTTGATCATTATTGATGTGGAAGAATGGCATTTTGAAATGGTACAAATAGAACTGTCATGAGCCTTTGATGTGCACTGACTTTCAGCCTCTGTCATCTTTAAGTCTGATTAAGTTCACGTGTGACTGAATACTTTTTTCTTTCCTGTTTCTTTTCAGATCCAGACAAGAAATGGATTTTTCATACCTGTGGCGGCGTGGGCCCTGAAGGCCCAACTCCCTCTCAGTGCCTCAACTCCTATAGGTACAGCAACGTCAATGTGACAGTCGGCACCCGTGGGCCCTTCAAAGGCATCCAAATGTGGCTTGTTCAGGAAACTGGCACCTACAGGTAGGGCTGCTGCCTGAGTATAACGCTTACCAAAATCTGTACAACAAATGTTTATGTATTACTGTGTACTGTTTCAAAGTGGCTTTGTAGGATGTACTTATCCTAGTCAGTGTATTCCCACAGTAGATTGTTGGCGGTTATTTTTCTTGTGTTATTTTGTGACTTTTCTAAATCCTAACAAACCAAACTAACTAACTGAGTGATGCAGGGGTAGACCAGCAACTACCATGCTTTGGGAGGTAGACTGGCTCTCTTAATAAATGAGGCTGTTGGATTTATGGTTAAGCAAATTTTCTCATTCTGCCTGTGCTGCAGATCCTCTTTTCCCCCTCTGTCTGAAACCAGAGCCTAGTCTGCTCTGATTGGTTAGCTGGCCAGCTCTTTTTTGATTGATCAACCGCTTAAGCCAGCGTCACACTGTCCCGAAATTGACACCCGATGGACACATGAATATGGAATTGTGAATTTCGCACGAAGATGGCCCCGAACCACACACGAAGGCAACATTTACATTACATTTAAGACATACAACTGCAACAAAAGTAACAAAAACAATTATGTTAAAGTACTATGATACTGTACTGATATTTTCAGACTTTGTTCTTTACTTTATCCGTCTTTATATGTAGAAGATATTAAGTTTTCTCCGTAATGTTGTTTCCATAGCAACAACAACTTCCTGTCAACTCGCCTTCAAAATAATATATTATATCCTTTTCAGTTTCACAGAACACAAATTGGGTTATTTACATAATATGTTTACATGATTTTTTTTTTTTTTTTTTACATATAATTGTAAAGCAATACATGATTGTCACTGTGGGCCTCTCCGCTCACTGACAATAAAATATAAAAAATAATTGATGAATTCAAGTTAGTAGCTATTAAAGGCATAAAAAGACAGAAATGTATAATTCTTTCTTTAATAGAAATGTTTCTTCTGCCCGTAAATTGTCCAAAGGAGAAGTGCATTTTTAAAACTGAAACAATGCCGGTTTCAATTGGATTATTTGTCACAATCTCTCTTCTGATCAGATTGCGTCTCTCCATTTTGTAGATTGTTTTAACGACTTTTGAATCCACTAAAGACATCGCCGAAAAATCGGTCCTTACTTTGAGCATGTGTTTTAAACGGGTTTTAATCCCTTTAGTTGATTGTTATCCAACTTCGCGCTGTCTTTAACCGTTTCTTCATGCAGCGGGCAATCCAAATCATATTGTAGGTATATCCTCATAGAGCTCAACAATCTAACCATCAAGAGCATCATTGCGGCACCTGAGTGCGTGACTCTACTATAATATCGTTACCTTTCATCGCTCCTTTAAACGAAAATACTTCACATTCATCTAGTTTGTGACAGCTAGTTGTAGCATTTTTGAGACTTTTAAAACTTGAATTAGAACCGCCTTACCTGGTTGTGCTCCCCCCCCTTGTGTGTGCTGCTGTGCTGTGTGTGCTGTGTAGTGTGTGTTGTTGTGTGTGTGTGGTGCTGCCTGTGTGCTGTGCTGCTGTGTGGTGTGTCTACGTGTGTGTGCTGGCTGGTGTGTGTGCTGTGTGTGTGGTTGGTGTGTGTTGTGTGTGCTGTGTGTGTGTCGTGTGTGTGTGCTGTGCTGTGCTGTTTGGACATGACGATGCAGTACGCACTTTGCATTGCATTTCACATTACAAGGGATGGCGGGCGCCAACTTCCAACTCAGGGGATCATTCTTTGGGCACGGGGGCTCTTCGGAACTCTTCGCGCTGGCGGCGAACCACTGTCTTAAGCCATCGTATGACCGCCGGTGGAGTTTCTCAGGCTCCGGCAGCAACTTTGTGAGCGGTGGCAAAATCTTTGGCATGCCAAAGAATTGCCGAAGGACCTTGCGAAGGTTCATTTTCGTGTTGAATTTGTGCGTCAATTTTGCCCTTCGTAAGACCATCGTGGGGGCATCTTGTTATCATCTGTGCCATCGGGCATTCGCCCCGATCAGAGTGAGGGCGAATGCCCGATGGCACCGATGATAACACAAAGATGACACGATTTGACAAGATGCCCTCACGAGTGCCTTACGAAGTTGCCGCTCACGAAGTTGCTGCCGGAGCCTGAGAAACTCCACCGGCGGTCATACGATGGCTTAAAATGCCCTCACGAATGGCCCGATGTTGTTACGATCAGAGCCGAATTTGAACATTTCCTTTATCGTGTGTCCATCGGGTGTCAATTTCGGGACAGTGTGACGCGGGCTTTAGAGATGTCCCCCACCTTATCACATACAATGTGCCATCTACTGTAGGTAAAACACTTAGCTACTATGGAAGAGTAACTCATACAAAACCACTCATGCTAACTACCCTCTTTTGGTTCTCAATGCATTGCCAGTCAATCTTTACGTACGTACACTCGGCTTCATGAGCACTCAACATACAAACCCTATAAAATACACACTTATCCTCTCTTTTTTATCATCAGCACTGCGCATTCCAACTCCATTTTTCTCCACAATACAGACTCTTCCTCACGCCCACCTCCTCTCCTCTGTGCATCAGCAGCACATCAATCTTCCACAGGCATACAGAGAAATCTCACTATCAGATTCTTGCAGGAGGGAGCAGAGGCTGGAGTAATGGGAGCTAAATAATATGATTCACTCCACATCTGACTCCCATAAAAAAATCCCCCAAAACCACCCGCCTCCAATGCTATGGTTATGGTGTTTGAGGCTTTGGAATACTACAACAATCAGTTAGCACCTTGACCTCATGCATTCTACTGCTCTAGGATTAATGCTGCGGTTTCCTCTACCTTGTGCAGGGATCAATATGTGTCCTATGGGCATTCATGCCCGTTTAACTTGGATTTGACTTGGATGCCTCAAACACAAAAAATGAGCATCAAAACTTCTAGCCTCCCACATCAACAGGCAGCACAACCACACACCGCTAAGCTCTGCCAAAAGCTTAAAATACCCAACTAACAGCAGCGTGGACAGCTCTGTCTTAACACATGTCCCAGAGTTTTAGAAAAATACCTTCTGTCTCCGCACAAACTCAAGAACTGCGTTCTTGATGCGGCCCGTAAATGGAGCCGACAGACGTTCACAGAGATGAATATGCGCTCTGCATCTCCCAAAAGTCATTAGGCAAACAGCTGAGGTAGCGACTGAGCACCGGGCAGCGTTCTCTCCCCCCAACAAACACCACCATCGGGAAGAGAAATATCCATTAATATAAGTTGTGACGTTTCTCCCTGGCAAGAAAACTGGAGGATTTGAAATGAGTGTCTTCTGCTGCGTGTGTGCTTGTATGTGTGTTTGTGTGCCCATGCAATCTGTAGTCTGTGCTTTCTTTTGTATATGTTGCCCAAGCGAGGTCAAAAACACCCCAGGTAAAAGTATTTTTTAGGGTTTCCAAATGAATTTTGGTTGTTATTTAATACACTCGCAGGTGGAATACGTATAAGAACTGTTTTCCAGCCTCAGGTTATTTCTGATAAACAGCTAGTGCCCAGCTTTGAAAATACAATAAATACTTCACCTTAAAATCCTATGAATCCAAAACAATAGACAAAACCAAATGAAAGTAATCAACCGTCCTTTTATTCACTGTATCATCAGGATCAGGATCATGCTAATGACCAGTGTTATGTGTGTGTTTGTGGCTCTGTGTGTCTTCTGTTTCCAACACAGGATTACAGCCTACGGTGCGGCTGGCGGTCGCAGCGTGTTGGCCATGAGCAGGTCACATGGTGTCTACATCACAGGAGACTTCCTGCTGCGGAGGGGCGAGCTGCTTCACATCCTGGTGGGACAGAAAGGAGAGGACGCATGCCCCAATGTGAGTCTACCATCACGCAGTAAATATGATTTATGGTAGCAAATGAGAGCTGCAATTTTAGAGTATGTCAAGATAAACATTATGGGGGAATTCAAATACAGATTCAATATATGGGGGTCATTTTGAATGGTTATAAGCGATACACTGATTATAAATCGTAAATTAGGAGGCAAACTATTTCTCTTTTATACACCGATAGATGCCTATTATCATTATCTTTTTCCAGGAAATTTAGAAGGATTAAAGTTGTTCAAGCTGAATGATATCACTGCGTCTACACTGTATGACTTGATAGCAGTGGAAGCATACAGCAGTGGACATAGCCGCTGTGATAACGGCTATAAAATGTGGATTACAGTCGTGAAGCCTCGAGTTACAGCCTTCGCGCTGTCCTTTCTTTTGGGAAAAATAAGTTGAATGAGAGGACAAATAAGAACAACTAAACAGTACATTTTTAGGCATTGTTACATTAAACGTTAACAGACTGAAAACACTGTAAAAGCATTAAAACGCAGGAAACATAAGGTAGCCCTGAAGCATTCCCTACTTACTTGTCTGTTTTACTCTCATTAGGAACATCATTTACTTGAATTTAATGAACATCAGGCTGATTTTAAGATGACTTCAGACTATTGATTAAGACCAAAAACTCATTAGTACACGTTTTAAAGAAGTAATAACCTGAATTAAATGTGAAGTAGTATCTCTTTCATATCTAGTTGCAACCTGTTGTCGTGCCCTGCTTGCCATTTCGAAAAAAATTAAGATTTAAAGTACTTTGCATCAGCTTCCCTTTTTAGGCATCGCCACTTATAGACATTCTTTGACATTGTTTAACTTTCGGACCATCTATAATTACATATAATCATCCCTTTGTGTTTTTGGAAAGTAAAATCGATTTAAAAATATGGTCTTTGGGGAAATGCTCTTTTCCTGTCAGACAGCTGGAGAGGCGTGAGTAGTGCTGCCAGAGGTCCAGTGGAACATCGTAAAGAATCCGGCATTGTTTTGTTATCAAAGAGTAGGGTCCATACCAGCAAACTGGACACTGACTTTTACATGCTGTTAATTGTGCTGCAGCTGAGCAGCTCATTAGCGTACTAGTCTGCAGTGCCGTATCCCTGGTGAATGTTTGTTTTGGGGCTCTTAGACAAGCTAATGTGCAGGAGACGCACTGTATGTGAGGGTTGTAAGTTAGATAAGAATGAGGTTTTAGCAGAAAAGCTAATGTGGTTGTTGTGCAGAGTACGTAGCTCTGGTGTTGTGTATTAGGCTGGTGGTAGAATCTTTTTGTGCCTCTGATCTACGTGTGATAGAACGCAGACCTTGATTGGCTGTGTTGAAATAAGTTCTCCCTCTACGAGACGAATACCAATCAGTACTCCGTCAAATGAATGCTAAACTAGGTGACGCATCATAAAAACTAAAAATTAAGATTCCTCCTTTTGGTTTCTGATTTATTTCAGGAGAAAACATTAAGTGATTGACATAGCAGACACACGCTGCAGTAGACCAAAAAAATATGTTGGAAATTAATAAAACTTTGACATTCTGAAATTCAAGGCAGAATCAAGTAATTCCCCTCATGTTCCCCGACCTCACCCTGGCCACCCGTGCTCTGAATCGTGAACATTTTTGCCACCAACCACAGTTTAAACCTGCGATGGAAGCCTTCACGGATCTCCCCACTGTCTCTCTTAAGCTTCCTTGTGTTGACTTGCCAGGTGTGGCTGTCATCCATTATGCTCTGGAGATTCTTCCCTGGCAGCAGCACAGCATGCTTCCCCTCCCAGTTCCACACACTGAGAATAAAACCCTCACAATCCCTCTAGTCGCCAATGAAACCATCCATCATCTGCTATTTAAACCTTTGAAAACGAAACCCTATTCCGCCACTGAAAATAAAGAGAAAGGGAGGTTAGTTGACAAAGTGTTTATTATTGCTGCTTTTAAGAGAAGGAAACATACATTGTTTGACATTGTTTGTTGTATAGAAAGCAGGGTGCAAAGGTAACTTTTGTACGGTGGCCAACAGGTGCAAACACGTCTGTTAAAGGTAGGGTAGGTAAATTTGGAGAAACCAGCCCGAGTGCGCTAGAATTTGAAAATACACAACCGGAAAAAATCTGCCACTTCCTTACAGAGCCCCTCCTCCAACACACACGAACGCGCACATGACCAATGAGGGCACGAGATAAGTTTGTGCACAGATGGAAGGCTGACAGGCAGGTAGGCCATCCAGTTATTTTAGCCGGGCCGGCTCAGATGATTGGTTGTGCTTTTTACAGTGCTACGGCTTCCACAGATGACACTTTTATGGATTTTTTGTCAAAGCACTTAGATATTCATTGCTATCAGGATGTTAAGGGCATTCGATGGAATATAACAAAAAGTGTATCTCGAGCCGGTTTCTCAAACTTACCTACCCCACCTTTAAGTACAGTAACAAAGTATTTCTCCCTCGTTACCACCTCTGCTTATAACACATACTTATCAGTTGCGAATATTCTCTACACTTGGGAAGAAAATGATTGAAGGGATTTCAAAAGCAATCAATGAAAGACCGATATTATTCATGCTATCAAAAAGCCAACTAAGGATTGTGTTAAAGCATTTTTGCAGATTTACATTGTGATCCAAAAAATAAGTTGGCACAGAGTTTGGCTTTAGAGCAAGCTCTGTTGTTTTGAAATTGTGTTACTAATATCATTAGTAACGTAATCTAAATTTCCCCATATAAAGAAATGTAACCTGATTACTTTCCGCTTTTAGACCACTTTAAAATCAAATTAAATTAAATGAAATACAAGAGAAAGGAAATGTCAAGAGGATGTTTTTCTACCTAAGTGTTTTATGTATGACATAACGATGTAACTTAAGAAAAGAAGACACTATATTTTTTCAAAATTAAATTTGTGTTCTTACATTTAAAATCATAAAAAAAAAAAATGTAAACCACAAAGACAATTCAGTCAGTTCGTCCACCTATACTATTGATCTTTATTTTTTTAATATATTGTAACATTGTACTCCTGTGAGAAATCCAATTATTTTTAAACATACCAATCTGATTCTACGTTTGTTTATGTAACTGTAAGGGAATACAGTTATTTTTGTTTGCCTCCTAACTACGTAGTCCAGTGACATATAAACCCTTACTCTTGGGGAAGAGTAAGGGTTTATATGTCACTGGACTACGTAGTTAGGAGGCAAACAAAAATAACTGTATTCCCTTACAGTTACATAAACAAACGTAGAATCAGATTGNTGAGACCATTGTGTGCAGTTCACTCCTTCTGACTGCTTTGGGAACACAGTTGCTTTGGTCCCTCACTTTCGTTTCGTTCTCATGCTCTGATTCGTTAGCTGAACAGCCAATCAGAGTGATTTATTTTGCCGACGAATCGGTGGGCAGTCGGCCGAAAAGGTGTCGGCACGGCTGAAAAGACACGACGGTGCGGGACAAACCAATCTGATTAGGGCGTGTCGACGCTCATCGTCGGCCAAAATCGGCTTGGTGTGTCCGGGCCTTTATACCAACTGATACTAAAGGGAATAACGAGGACAATATCCAACAGCCAGTGTAAATGAAACCGGCTTTCTCTGGATTGTGTTGCCTTATTGCTGTTTAGGGAAACCCATCTTAGCAGCTAACTCCTGATCTAAGAATGCAAAAGTGACTTAAACCTGCATTCTCTCTTATAGCCATTAAGGGGCGACTCCACTAGTGGCAAACATGTCAGATTTTCCAATATCAATGAGAAATGTGGCTCCTTCTTACTTTATTTAATGCCACACTAAACATTTCCTTAACCTGGCAGCAACTTCACTCTGATACCTCTCCATAACAACAAAGTGTTGCATTACAAAGAACTCTTCTTTAGTGCAGCGATGCCGGTTTGGTGAAATGGTATTGGTAAACCTCCACAGCAAACTCAAAATATTACAATGATCTGGGTATTCAGTCAACATTCGGAATAAAAAGGATTTGATTCTTACACTTTATCTCTAAATAAAAATGTCATCCTTTCGTCCAGCCTGGTGATTACTCCACGGTAAAGATGAATGCTCACACATTAGTTTTTTAAAAGTATTTTTCTCTTTCTTATTTCTGTTTGATGTGAGCTTACTTAGTTTAAACCCCATTATGACTAATCTGAACCCGGTGCTGATTTGGAGAAAGCCGTGTAAGTCTTGCATGCTGTCTAATATCAGTTGGAATGAATTGTACCTGTAAATGTCTCGAGCCATCCCAAAATCTCCAATCTTGGCGACACGGCCCGATCCTTTGCAGGTCAGTAGGCAATTACGAGCGGCAATGTCTCTGAAAAAGGAGAAAAACACATACATGCGGTCATGTACTTACTGCTGGTTCAACAATATTGGTCATTTTCATTGATGCACAGGCACTTTAATTCTGAATGACATTTTGTATTGTAATATATTTAGAAGGCACTGTGTGTTAAACACACTGAACATTCGCACATCTTTGCTCAGGCCTCCTACCTTCACTAGTTTCCTATATGTGTGCATCTATAGGAGAGCTCCACATATGAAACTCCTACAGACGCTCCCTGTGGGATCCTAAGTTCAGTGTAAGTGCGAAGTTGCCCAGGGCAAGCGAGTAAAGTCAAGTGTATGGTTTCCTACTGTTCCTTTACAGCTCTGCCCACATGGTGCATCCAGAGACAAGATTGAAATGTTCCGTTGCAGGCAGTGGGTTGGAAGAGAATAAAATCATATTTGCACTCTACTAGTTTGAGGAAATACAGTAGTTCATGTCTGGGGAAGACACCATTGAGCCCACACGCTGCATTGGGCTCCCAATGCGCCAAACGTTCTTATCATCTTAAGAAGTAATGTAGCTTTAATGCTCCTCATCACAGTAAAGACAGTAGTGCACTCGGGATGATCAAAAAAACATCATGTGGCACTGCTCGATGTAGATCATGGGACAGGGCAGGAGCCAGAAATACAACAAATAGCAGTGATACAATCAGTTTGTGTGTTTTGATGTTTATCCTCCAATCTCTGATGAAACTCGGATGTGAAATGAGGCTGAAGTAATAGTTCAGATTGATTTGAACCGAGGGCTTTTTAAGACAGGGCACTACTCTATGCATGGCTGCCCCACTTGAATGTGCCAGAAGTGTCTGGAACAATTCAACTTATTATTATATAATAAAACTTCAAGTATGAGAAAAGATGATTTGGCATGAAACAAAAACAATGTCTAGGGCATCCAGTGGGTTCTCAGTTTTAGTGAAATGTGGACTCAAGCTGTTAAATGAATGTCTGAGAGATAAATGAGATATCAAACCAGCTGCAGATAAGTGACTTAATTGTAGTATCCTGCCACAACATTCCCTATTCATAAAAATAAGTGAATGAATCCATCCATTTAGAGGCGTCTCCAAAAACATAGCATCAGCTCACACACATGAACTCTTTATCTAGTTCCTCTCCTCTCATGAGGTGCTGTGTATAAACCCAAGCAGTTCTTGTTTAATGGCTCTCGAGAATTCATGCAAATGAGTTTTGCTCGTAGGCAGGGACAGCCTTGAATGCAGCAGAAGCTGTCACAGTGTGTCGCTGAGGGCTTAGGGGAAGGACACAGAGCACATGCAGCACAGTGATGGGAGAGCAGGCTGTTATTAAAACAAAGTTAACCGGCTTCAAACTGTAGACCTTATTTACAGCACACTAACTGCAGCTTCAAGACCCATTTCACTGCAGCACTTACCGTCCCTGTTATTAGTCTATTTTAAACAGCTGAAGTTGAACTACTTGACTCTCCTCGAGTCAGTGATTATTTTCAGGCGACTACAGTTTCTAATGTCAGTACCTGTGTTATTGTAAAATAACGTTATAAAAATGTAACATTATTCGATCCACTAGACAAAAAGAGCACAGATAAAAACGTCAACATTAAAGATTACTGGTTTGCCGGGGGAAGGTAAAAGGTCATGTCTAGCTGGTGAAACTAAGAACACCCGAACCAGCTTCGGCGAAATGGCACATGCACAGTTCCTGTGGCACTCAGGAAAAACATATTGGCATGTAGGACAAAGTTTAGAAGACCTAGCTGGCATTTCTGTTATCCTGGAACAGGAGTCTAGAAGATATGGGAAAGTAATAAATAAATACATTTGTGTAGGGGCTCGTAGATTGCTGAGCCAATCCCACAGTAGTTCTCAGACAGCATTAAAGCTGTGATTTGACCTGTTGCAGCTCATCATCCACACCCTGTGATCCCTTAAGAAAAGCTGCATTCTCCTCCACCCTACCTTATCCACCTGCCCTTTACTCAACCCCGAGTAAACACACCCCCATAAAAATGAAATTAGTCTCAAGGACAGTATAAGGATGAATTTTAATACAAGTTTGAAGGCATGAAAGAGGGATGGATTGATGGGCCTTACTGTGCCAAGTTGGGGCGGACAAGTTCTCGTTTGTCATTGACCAAGCCGCACCGAAACATGAAGATGGAGACATGAGCTTCAAGCATCCAGATGTGATTGTGGGAGCCATTTTGACCACTGGCCTATTTGACATGTACTAGACTTTCCTCACAGACATCCACGGAGGAGAAGGATTCAAGAAATGCATTTAAAAGTGATTTAGTCACATCCTCCGGTTCACCAACCACTATGAATGTGGATATAGAATGAGACTTGTTCCTTTGATTCGGACCGTAAAAAGGCCAGCCGGCTACCCCATCTGGCTGCTCGGATGCTAAACCCATCACCTGTCCATTGTGCGATCATACGAGAGGCCAAGGCAGCAGGGTCCATATGTGGGCGGATGCAGACCACTCATAATCCTGAGCAAAGGCAGCGTGTGAATGTGGGCAAGTCTGTGCTATTTGAGTTTGAATATTTCTCTTTGCAAATTAGCATTCCATATGTATATGCAAACCCATATGTGCTGTCTATTGTTTGTTTTTCTCTGTGCATAGCTAATCTGTTTAGGTGGGCAGCAGAATCCTTACATCATCTGTCTGTTTATATATTCATATGCAGAGTAGTTCTGGTGTAGTACCTGTGTATAAACTGGTTCTCCTCCAGATACTGGCAGCCCTTTGCGATGTCTCGGGCCACATTCAGAAGATCCACCATGGACAAGCTGGACGGATGCTCCTGATCAGACAGAGGAATACCCAGAATGCAATATTAGTCAATGTAGCAGAGGCAGATTTGGGTCTCATTCAGCAAGCGATATACATACTCTGTTATTTACTCTCATTTCTGTGATTAGACTTGATTTTTGTAGAAATACTATTGTTCAATGTATCCCAGTTAAGACTTTAAAACCCCTTGGAGGATAATACTTTTTTTTCAGCTTCTGAATGGGTTACATACGGCTCTCAGATGCTTTATGATTTTCTTGAAACACCATTACTGATGCTGGGAGAAATCCCAGTTTAATTTGTTCATGTTTGTATAATGGTGTCTTTAAATCTCTACTGCTGAAATTCTTCTTACAGCCTTTTTTGGTGGCATCACTTTAATTCTTGTGCCAGAGTTTTTGCACACGGAACAATGCCCACCCTTTCACTGTCTAAAGGGGTGTTACCTAATAATAAACAATGAGCTATTCCCCTTATATTTATGATCAAAGGGGAGTCACCATACACCTGGGTGAGAGCAGATTTGGATGGATAAGAATGTTTGGTGCATCTGAAGTTGACTTCTCTCCTAACACTAAATTAAGAGGAAATATTAGAGAAATCTTAGAGAATGTTGCTGCATGAGGCCCAGAGATGTTGTTAATAAAACACGAGGGGGAAATGTTGAACATCTAACAGAACATGGATCACATTTTGTCAAATCCTGGGGCTCAGTGACGAGAACATTTGTAGCTAAAGATGGTTAAACTAATACAAGTATCCATTCAATACAGGTCTGTCTCACCAGCCGGGGTCTGGTCTCCCTCAGGAAGGACTTGAGGTCTCCCCCGGTCATCAGCTCCAGCAGGATGAACCTGGGCATGGTCTGCAGGCTGACCCCCACACAGCGCACAATGTTCTGGTGGCTGAACTTACTGCAGGGGAAACAATGTGTATCAGAAATGTGCTGTGTCTGCACTGTTTGAGAAACAGAGCTGTTTTCATTGTCTGGGTGCTTTACCTGATGATTAGAGCCTCCATGAGGAAGTCCAGCTCATCCTGCTCAGAGCAAACCTCAGGCAGGGTCTGTTGGAAATACAAACAACGGTGCAAAGAATGAAGAACAGAGGAGAGAAGTGGTGTACATAAATGTCAAGGTTTTGAGAATAACTCCAACTATAAGCATTAAGTGGACATTTTGACTTTATTTTTTACATGAAAAAAAAAAATCCAATCCAATCCACTTTATTTCTATAGCACATTTACAAACAACAGAGTTGAACAAAGTGCTGTACATCAACAACTGTATAAAAACATAGCATAAATACATGAAAACAGACAGGACATGAAACAAATGTAAAACACGAGACAATGAAACCAGATCAGAAGCCTGAAAAACTCTCCTACATGACATAAAAACAATACAAAACACTAGTAAGATAAAAACCCAAATTTAAAAGCTCAAGTGTCACCTGGCCTGTAAAAGCCAGGGAAAAGACGTGGGGTTTTAAACAACATTTAAAAACAGGCAGAGTTGGAGCAAGTCTAACCTGGAGGGGTAATTCGTTCCATAACGTTGGAGCTGCAACAGCAAAGGCTCTGTCTCCTCGCTGCTTTAACTTTGATTTTGGGACTACCAGAAGGAATCTGTCAGCAGACCTCAGTGACCATGTGGGTGTGTATGGTTTTAAAAGATCTGCCAGGTACGGTGGGGCTAAACCGTTTAGGCTTTGTATGCGAACAGTAACAGCAAGATACAATACAACTCATAATCTCATATCCTGATAAAAACCTATTCTTAGTTGCATGATGTCTGACGCATTGTAAAAGGCTGTAGACATCAACATCAAAGTCTGACCTTTGGAAGACAGAAACAAATCTTTAGAGTTCCTAAGAGCGTAAATTCACCTTGACTGCCACTTGCAGAGGACTGGGTTCACCTGGGATCCCCACTGCCAGCCCCTCGTATACTTCACCGAAGGCACCGTGACCCAGACCCCTGGAGACACACAAACACATTCATTATTTACAACTCCATTAATATTTTAGAAGTGAAGCTGAGACTTTAATACAAGTCTCCTAGATTGGAGACGTTAGAAGCAACCAGCACTAAGAAATGTCCTAAAGGGGCCCCCTTATGCTCATTTTCAGGTCCATATATGTATTTTGTACCTCTACTGGGACATGTCTCCATGCCTTCATTTTCAGAAAGCTCGTTATTTTCCTCATACTGTCTGTGTTGCAGCACCTCTTTTCACCCTCTGTCTGAAACCAGAGCCCAGTCTGCTCTGATTGGTTAGCTGGCCGGCTCTGTTGTGATCGGTCAACCGCTGAGAGATGTCTTGCCCCTTAGCCTATCACGTACAATGTGTTGGAGAGCTAACCAATAGAAGTAACTAAGTGTTACGTAGTGATGTCTCTGAAGGAACACAGGGATTTTAACCTTTGTAGAACCATGCAAAAAAACCAATATGAACACATTACAGAAAAGGGAAAACCCAAAAGCATAATATCATTTCCAAACTATGATCACTGCTACAGTGAGATGTTATTAGTGCTACACTAGGACATGGAAAAACTCTTGGCAGTTTTCTCAACTAGGTCACATGTATTTCATTCCCAAACTCTCCGTGACATCCCGCCGCAGATTCAGAGTTTATGTCAAATAATCATTTCGATTTTTGTATCTTTTGCAGCCATCATTTGACTTAAATAATGTCAATGCTGAAAAAGATTGGGTCCCAAAGAAAAGGAACGAAGCATAAGGACTAGGAACCAGCATGATAAACTGTTGAACATGAACATTAAAGATTAAACATTTAAAAGAGCCATGCGAAAAATCTTTTCCCTAGACACTTGGATCCCTGCAGCAGACCCGTACACTAAGCTGCCACTTCTCACACCACGCTGGATTTCAGCAGTCCAGCATATTTACATAGTTTATATAATTACAGTGAGCTGCACGTCTTTTCAGATGCTGTTAGGCTTCAGTCAGGTCCCACTTCCCCACAGAGGACTGGTGTATTCAGCTCATACAAGACAAGCAACAAGAAAGCGTGATTTTAAATCTCTGCTCTTGTACCTGGTGAGGGAGATATTTCTCCGCGGCACTTCTTTCAGGTCGGTGACCGATGCCGTCTTTCCGGCAAAGCAGTAGTTGGGGTTGTAGTCGGTCATGATGGTGGAGGCCCGCAGCTTGCTGAGCTTACAGTCTGGACTCTGCAGCTCCAGCTGGATGGACTGCAGCTCCGTATGTTTACGCCTGTACACTGGTGAGAGGAAAATTCAATCGTTTCATCCCAATGTTGGGAAATCCTCAATTTATAAAAGCAAACAAAACCTCAAACACATATTTTTTGTGGAAATTATTGCTGGCAGCTAAAGCAAACAAAGTGGAAAGCTTACCAGTTGTTATTTCTCTCAAGACCTTTTGTTTGTTCCACAGCAATTTTTATGAAAATAATTCCTTTGTGAAATATTGATTCCTCTCTATATGATGCCAGATTCGTCTTTCATAATGTTTCAGAATCTAACCCTTAATGTTTAAACGTGTCTTGAGGATGTGTTCATATTACAATGTAAGCATAAGACCAAGTAGAGCTGCAAAGAGCAATCCATTAGTTGTCAACTGTTACATTAATTATAGACTATTTCATAATATACTCATTAGTTGTAAAGTAAACATTATTATTTCCAGCTTCTAAATGTGAATACTTTCTGGTTTCTTTACTTCTCGCGGAAACAAAACGGAATGTTGTGAGTTTTGCAGCTCATAGAACATCCCACTGTGTGGAAACTCTTTTCTCCTTTACGCACGCACGCACGCACGCACGCACGCACGCACGCACGCACGCACGCACGCCAGTTCTAGAAGCAGCCTCAACCTCAGCTGAGAACCCATTAGTCCCAGGGAGAATAGTTTATGTGTGTATGCTTATGTGTGTGTGGGGAGGTATTTATTTACCAAGTGCTTTCTAATGTACGAGTGCTGTCAGCCGCTGGCTAAGCAGCCATCCATCATTAGCACGTTTCATTCATCACAGAGGTAGACCCACTCCTCCACAGACCCCCGCTGCCTCTACTGACGGTGCAGGCATGTAGGTGGGAGTCTGGCTGTGTGCAAGAGCAGGAGCGCGCGCGCGTGTGTGCGCGCGTGCGTGCGTGCGTTTGTGTGTGTGTGTGTGTGTGTGTGTGTGTGGAGGAGGAGGAGATGATGGCTCAATGAGTGCACATGTCAGGCTGTAATAGCCTGAAAGCAGGTGAGCAGGAGGATGTCTGCAGCTGTCCGAGAGGTTCACTTCCCTGTTCTGACAACAAGCTGCTCAGGGCGATGAGAGGGACTGGAGTGTGTGTTTGTGAGACAGTTTTTTATATTCAATCAGAAGCAGAAAAAAGAAATACTAACGTAACGGAACCTCTTAAGCGTTACCCAGCACAGTGGGGCTCTTCAGAATCATAAGGGCTACTTTAACTTTCCTACTTCCCCCACGTTTACTTTGTTGGCTGTCATGAGAAAAACCTCATTTTGATCAAATGGCTTTAAGAATATGCACAGTGGAATCCCATGTCTTTTGTAAAACACACTACAGGAGATTAGGGTAAACATTTTAGGTAATTGATATCACCATTAAACATCCCCAGTTGATTAATTACATTAAATCATTTATATTTTTATATAACAATTTATTTTAAATGTAACGTTTAACTGTACAAATGACAAAGGATCTTATGCTAACTTTAGATGAAATAAGCAGAACCTTACAGATGAATGAAGGAAAATAAACACTTAAATGTGTATTTTGAATGATTTTTTGAAAGAAGGCATGTTTTTGAAGCAACATAGCACAAACTCTGCCGTCTCACCATGAATCATGGAATTTCAAATCCTCTGACATCGTGTCCACAGACTAACACCAGAATATGTCTAAATGTGTTTCCCCTGTCCTCCCTCACTTACTGATCATGACCCCGGAGACGGCCAGCAGCAGGGCGGCGATGAGGGCCGAGGTGCCCACAGACAGCCCCAGCGCCAGGTGGGATAGAGACGGCTGGGGGGGCAGCCGGGTAACCTCTGTTAGACAAGGGGAGACAACAGCATTCCACACTTGTTATCGTCCCCAGAGGAGTATTAACATTCTCTCCGCCACTCTGATCCCACACTTAATCAATGATGTGAAAGCGATGACACAACAGAGCTTAGGAGCAGCGACGGCCGGTGCATGTCAATTCCCCTCCCATGGGCACGGGGGAGATCTCATTTCACTCATCTGAGCGAAGAACACATCTTCACGCCCAGAGACGCCATATTGAGATAGCGACCTTTTATGACCTAGCATCATACAGTTATCTACTGCTTGTCATTTTGGAGAACAGATTTGCAAACCATGGGGCAAGGAGACACTCTAGGTCATTAAGATACCATTACAAATGATAAAGTGACATTCTGCCATATTCATTTATTTCAGATATACTTTCATATGCTCATGATTCAAGAGATTACAAAGAATAATTGGAGAGGCGTTTCTATGTCCAGAGGGGTTTGCCTGCATTGCTTTGTTGCAGTTTAACCAAAGACACGGCACAAGGTTGAGATGTGGGGGAAAATATGCAGTCGCATGAACTTAGGGTCAGTATTATCTATAGAAATGTTGCATAATCCGTTATTCAATCACGTTTCATTGAATAATGTACGTACAAAACATGAATATCCACACCCTGAGTATTTCAGCCTAATCCCCTCAACATTAAAAAGCTTTAATCTGAATGTATCGCAGAGATCTATCACAGAGCAAGACTAAAGCAGCTAATACTTTCTAAAGGTATATCATCTCCATTAGGGTTAGCTTATCCTACGGATTGATTAATATTATGAATGATTAAGGGATTCATAAAAAACCTTTCCTTAGATAAAGATTCAATTAAGTACAGAGCCTCCCAGGCCTAATTACTCCTGCAGATTAACTCATCATCTATTCACTGAGTCACAGTCTATTACAGGTACAATTACATCAGCTTAAGTCGTTTTTGCATTCGGATTCATTTCACATGCTGAGGAGGAGAGGGAGAGATGAGCAGCAGTCTGACCTGTAGCGTTGATGCAGGAGACCCCGTCCCGGGCCAGGATCAGACCCTCGTCGCAGTAGCACACGATGCTGCCGTAGGTGTCGTGGCATTCGTCGCTTTCACAGTGGCTGCAGTTCTGCACCGGACTGATGATCACCTCCCCATCCCCCTCCATAGCTTCACACACACAGGGTGAAAAGCAGACGTTTCCACATGAACAGGGTTTGATAAGACATCTCTAGAGTAGAAGAGAAAATATTCAATAATACCGCCATGGTATTTCAAGGTTCAAGGTTCTTTATTTGTCATACGAACATAGCTACATACAATGCCAAACTCACATTCTCTCTAATAGTCAGCAGGGGGCCACTCAAGTGGTTGCAAAAAGAAGTGAAATTCTATGGAAGGCTATGAAAATATTTCTGACTTTATTTAATACCTTAAAGGGGACCTATCATGCAAAATGCACTTTTGTACGTCTTTTATACATGAATATGTGTCCCCGGTGTGTCAGGGAACTCACCAAATGTCAGAAAACACAACCCTCTCTCTTTTCCTCCATACCCAAATCTCTAAAAACGGGGCTGCAACGGATCTGATATGGATTTGAATTGTTCTGACGTCAGAAAAGGGGTGCTCCGCCTATATGGGCAACTCTCCACCTATCAGGGGAATGGGGGGTTGGATCATTGCCGCTCGAAAGCGCTGGAGACACTGTAGTACATATGCCAGGCCTGTAAGTGGCGCTGTAGTCTGCCACAAAAGCAGCGAAGAAGACTTCTCAGAATCAGCCCTTGCAGAAACAGGGCTGGAAAAGAGCAAATAGAGCGAAATGAGGCATGGCTAAAATGCATGATCTGTTTGGTATTTTGAAAAAAAAACTTCACAGACATATTTATATAGGTATGGCCCTACAATATATTATTCAAATATAGCATGATAGGTCCACTTTAAGCAACATTTCCTAATCATTGAATGGTCTCGATTACTAGTTTCAAGTATCTTTGTATGAAAAGCAGGCCGGCAGATAACACCAAGCCGAAAACGTGAGATCCTTCACTGAGGTAATAACAATTGAAAAAATCTAAATAGAGGTGTTGTTGGCAAGTGAATGTGTAATAATGGATAATGATTTAGGTCGTTACACAGTGTTGTGTTACTGCTGTGGCCTGGTGGAGTATTTTGACCAAAGCCTACCACCTGAAAACTAAAACAGGGTTAAAAGTGAGAATACATAAGGCATCAGTTTTCCTATTCAGCTTCACTGTGCTTTCATCCCCAGCGTGATTTCATTTGGTGAATAGCGCTACTGATCCAGTCCAAGCTATCAGAGCTGAATGGAGCCAGGGTGCCTCCGCGCTGTGTGGAGGATTGAGAGCGCACACATTTCCATTCCAGTCTTTTCTTACCGTAAACTAAATTGACTGATTGGAACTGAAGTTGTGCTAATCTGTGAAACGATCTGCGGCTGTGGTCTCTGAGGCTGGAACCAAACCTGCAGACTCTCCGCCCTTCACTGCACAAGGAGTTTTAGGAACCCGTTTACAGCCATTACTGCATCAAAAAGGAACCAATCCTCTTCATTTTAGACAACATAGCAAGCGTGGACACATCATCTAACATAAAGTGGTTTCTGCTCTGTGGAAGCTTGTACGGCGTAGTAAGGCAAATGCACTCATCTGCAGGAATCCATTTCCTCTCATTCCATTATCAGCTTTATAAGTACAAATACATAAGTCTGACATATAAACCGTTGAAGGGTTTCGATGGAGGAATGCAGATTGTGTTTCTCTCTAGATCTTTAATATACTCCCTAAGTGAGAAAGGTGACGATCATTTCTTGACTTCATTTTTCACATTTCTTAATGATATTATTGTAACAGTGAAACAGTTGATCTTCTATCAAAGCAAGACAGTTATACCTGCACAGATAAATCATTGTACTTCCCTTAAACGCAGTCTCTCAATCAACTAAAGAAGGACTTGCGTCAATGCACTCTTCTGTGTTAGGATTCATGCAATCCGGTTGCCTCTGTCAACATTAGCTGTGAACTTTGATCCTCTTTAAAGTTCTTTCAGTGCACACAGCAGGGTTGTCCGGCAGCACCTACTGTTTTTATTTGAGCTTGAAAACCTGCCTGTGCACTTCAAGCTGAGGAGAAAAGGACTGCCGTCACCATTTGTGATCACATATTCAAACCACGGATGCCCTTAAACATGACCTTTGAAGTGATACAATTACAGATAATACCTGACATCTCGCCCTGTGTGTTACAATAATGACTTTAGCCTTCTGGTAATTCACTGGTTATAAATCATGTCTTTCCTTAGCTCTTTTCCTGCACGCATTTCTAAAACAGGAAGTGGACATTTTCCTTTTGCAGGAATATAAAAACTTTAACCATTACAAATATAAACAGAAGTATAGACTATAGGAGAGTTTACAAATGTTATGAATACAGATCTACAACTGATATCAGAGTGGGTTATACATAATAAGTTAGTAATTAATGCTGGAAAAACTAAATCTTTATTAATAGGATCAAATCATCAGTTCAAATTTTTGCCAATAGATGTCAGTAGACAAGTTCTGGATGCTTTGGTTCTGTCACAGCTTGATTATTGTTTGGTTATTTGGTCTATGCTGCAGAGAAAGATTTAACCAAACTACAAGTAGCACAAAATAAGGCAGCACGATGTGCACTGCAGTGCTCCTACAGAACCAGAGTCAATGAAATGGTTAAGTGTCCAACAGAGGTATTTTGTTAAATGTTGTCAGAAATATTACAGTGACTCACTCACCTATATTATCACAAAGGCGCAGTATTCTCAACATAACTATCAAACACGACATACAATAGAAGGAAGGTTTGTATTACCCACATCTAAATCAAATAAGGGACAGAAAACAGTCATACTGTACAGAGCCATGGTCAGCTGGAAGTCTTTACCCGTCCATATCATTCAGGAACATTCTCAAGTACACTTCAAAAGGTTGCTCATTTTTAAAAAAGTATTATAAAGTACATTTGAACTGTGCCTGTGGCTATGTATGCATATATTATTAGTATGTATACTTATTTGTATTTACTTTTGTTTGGCCTTAGGATGGCGATAGCTGGATGACCTTTTTAGTTTTCATTTCATACGCGCTGTAAATTGCATGAAATTATGAGCTGTTTTGTTTTGTTTGAATTTTGTTGTATGTATGTTTATATATGTGTTGTGTGTGTGAGGACCCCAGGAAGAATAGCAATTCTCATGTTAGTGCTAATGGGGATCCTAATAAAGACATCAAAAAGACATAAATAGATTCTGGCTATATTCCCAATGTTAATCTTTATTATCTGTCATAAAAGTTGTTATTTTCTTGTCACGAGTCTACCAAATGGGGACATTAAAGGTATCCAGGAGCTGTTGCTGGAAGAAAAACACAGATTGAACTACAGTTGTATCTTAAAGGGGGTGTACATACAGTAGGGGGGTGTATTATGAAAATCTCACTCATTTAGTGATGGTATGTTTTCTTGGTCAGAAAACCTGTGAGCAACAACCAATATAAACGTAACCTTCTTACATCACAAGCTGGCTCATTAGAACATACGAGTATAAAATATATATAAGCCCCACATATGAGTATCTTTAATAGGGGTGAATACAGCTTTATTCAGCAGGTATGAGAAAGATGATGCATCTTTCACATAAAAACACCAAAATAATATGGAATACTATGTCCCCTTAAGTTTAGATCTTCTTATTCATTTTTTAGGTTAAATAGCTAAAATAGGAAATTGATTTTCCTTCTTTAAATGACACCAGAAACTAGAACATCTCAGCATGTTCACCAGTCAGAGCCACAGCCGAGGAATGTGTTGTTCAATAACAGTACACTTCTGTGAAGTTTAAAAGCCAGTATACCACTTTGACAGAGCTGGTATTCACTCCTAAGTCTTGTTCCACCAGAGGAAATAAAGTGAGTGTAATGACGAAATGAGGATTGTGGCAGTTGAGAGGAGCACTGCTTCACCAGACAGCATCAGCCTATTCAAGCTCAATGAGAGGGATATCAGTGCGTACTTTGCTACAGCCCTAATGGAAGACAATTAAAAAAAAAAAAGGCACTTCAGTTTTCCATTTCTCCTTTTTTCCTATTTTCTTAAATAGCTGAGACAAAAGGTTATTTAAAATGATGTATGAAGGGTCATCATTTGTCAAACTGTGTTTCTAGTGCTGTATCCTGGGGGAAACAGTCATTTGACAGGCTGTGACCATGTGTAACATGGGTTTAATATGGGTGTAATAATGGAGTGATGGGGGCATATTAATGTTGTTATATGAGTTTGATACAGTTCAACCCTTAGCTGCACTGGACCCTACACTCTTCCATAAGTGGGTCAAAAAGGACCCGTATTAGAATAATATGTGTTTTTATGCCACTTGTATAATATGTAGTATTATATTTTGGTTCACACTAGAAATATTTGATATCATATCATATCACATTTTATTTACATTTAAAAAAAAAAAATTCCATAGAAAATGCATGCGGGTCATTTTTGACCCACTTATGGAAGCTTGGGGTTGAAACACAAAAACTACAATTTTTTAAAATGTAAATCAAAAATGTGAATGGCATGATATCCAAAACATGTTTTTTGAGGAATAGCTGGAATATGAAATGATCAAAAATGTAATTACAAAGATACTCTGAGAAAACCACCTCACCGGGTCAAAACGACCCACTTATGCATCTAAGGGTTAATTTAAGTGTAATGTAGAAAGTAGAAATCTATTTATTTTCCAAATATATATACATATAATATATAAATGTGATTGGTCATTTGAGAGTTAATATGTCAACAGCAAAGACAGCTTTTCTCAAAGTACAAACACATAGACCCTCAAACCTCAAAAAGCACAACGTTATCAAACACTGAAAATAAATGACTAGTGTGTCACATTACCTTTCAGCGGGTAGAGGAAGGGCTCTCCTTCTGGGCCGAGGAAGGAGGTGCCATCGTCACCATCGTGTTTGGGATTGTTATCCAGTGAGGTGTTACCACCTAGAATCATGTGACAAAACTTCAGTGCCATTTCATAAATAACATGCTTTTTTATATTCTGTGCTTTTGCAATCTGAAAATATGTCAGTTTTCCCATTATGTAGATTTTCTCTATTGTCTCTATCCATTATTGCTTGGTAGGGATTTTCATCATGGACATCAACAACATTTTGACTGTATCTATTCCCGTTTTTTTACATTTTGCTGTGTCAAATAAAAAAAATACATACAAATTACAAGGTGGCTGATACAGAAATAAAATCATGGTTTATTTTATCCGAATTGTGTGCACACTTTTCCAGAACATTAATATTTGGTGGCATTTAGAAAATATATGTGAGTGTTCTGCAGCTAGTACGCCACATTCTCATGGTAGATTATGTTTAGATATGAACCTAGTGTGTGATAAACCCCAGTGTAATCTAACGTTTACAGGTATTTGCATTTTGCTTATTATTTGCATTACTTCTGTGTTACGTTTTTATTTTCGTATCTTTTCATGCCTTGTGCTTTGTAATTCCCAGCACTGGACGTTCTAGAAAAACCTTGCAGATCTCTTGCACTAACCTCTGTATCCTCCGGCAGCGCCCCCGGACAAACACCCCCCTCCGCCGCCCCCGAAGCCACCGCGAGTCTGCCAGAACTTTTGACAGGCCTGCCCTCCCTGGCCCCCCAGCACCAGAGGTCTGCCCCCCTGACTGACAGGAGCAGTGTCGTTCCAGCCTCCGCCTCCACCTGTCACCAAACACAACAACCCTGTCACATGATGTGGAGCAACACGCTGTGGAGCAAGGACTCCACTCAGATATGCACAGCAACTCTGCAATGATCTGCACATTGCCCGGAGGATCGCTGTGTGAGGACGCAAATGTCAGGATCACCAGAGGCAGAGAGGGGCGGGTCATGCCTTCGCCCTCATTCTGAATAATAATAAGCATGCACTTTTTTTACATCGCAAGTAGAGTATGTTTTTTTTTTGGAACAATGGGCCTTCAGCGAAATGGGCGTTTGTGATTTTGTTAACGGACTGTCTGACAAATGGGCTTTCGGTTCAGTCTGTAATTTATTTTGTGTTCTCTGGGTTACAGGAACAATGGCATGGCATCAGGATTTTAATGCCAGATTGTGGGCGAGTTTCTATTCCAGCTGGTGGGAAACCGGAAGAAAACTAAAACCTGAGGGGGAAGAACAAAACATTTCAAATTGGAGAGACGACAAGACGCCATTTCTAATTCTAAATGCTTACATTTTCAAAAAGCTCTTTATTTTTCTCATACTGCCTGTGCTGCAGCACCTCTTTTCACCCTCTGTCTGAAACCAGAGCTCAGTCTGCTCTGATTGGTTAGCTGGCTGGCTCTGTTGTATAGGGTCAGATCAGAGAGAAACTCCCTCTGGGGGGAACTTTGGGATTTTAGCCTTTGCAGACCATTTACATGCACACAAACCTATGTAACACACTACAGGAGGGGGAAACCCCAAAAAGCATGATAGGGCCCCTTTAGGGAATCTTGGTCTGTAAATGTTGACGTCAAAAATGTCATCAGACAAAATCAAAGAGTGGCAAGAGACTGGCTGTATGACCAAATGACAAGCAGAGCAGCAGAGTAAGTGAGAGCACTTTTGACCAGGACTATCTGGACAATGTGTGGAACTGATTATTTGTCCAGAGTTCACACAAGACAAATTCAAAAATTCATTTCGAAAAGGAAGAAAGAGAGAAAGACACAGAAAGAGCTCTTCATTGGGAAAATGTTCTGGAAAGATGAGGCACGCACACACCAATTATCAGGTATGTTTACACACACGCACCCACACACTCTGCAATAACTTATTAAACACAGAGCAGAGACCACAGAAACATAAATCCCTTTGAAGAAACCTGGTAACAGGAGATTAAAGTTATAGCTAATAAAGTTAAAAGTAAATGTTCCCCTTTCATTTTCCTCCCTCTCTGAAGTCCGAGAGACAGAAACAAAAACAAATATCTCACCACATTAGCAACAAACCACACGGAAATGCTGAATATTTGACTTTTCATTCACCAGATTTGAAAAAGGCTTTGAAAAAATGTTTTCTGAACCCTCTAAACTCAGACCACATGAATAATGCAGCCGGCATGGGTGTAGCATCACACTGGTAGTTCTGACCGGTAATGACGGGATACACAGGGATCCATATGAATAATTATGACCAGGCCCTACTGTAGCTTTGTTTTGTTTTAGCCAAAACACAAACACTGGCACAGCGAGTGGGAACGTATATGAAACGTATGAATTAAGGCAGAGGTAAATGCCTTCTGGGATAAATGATTGTGTTTACAGGCAGACACACAAATAAACACTTCCACTTCGGGCTATCTGTAAACTGGGCTTATTAGTTTGTGGCCATGCAGAGCAGAATACAATACAACAGTTCTGTAATGGGGTATTAGTTATCTGTTCATCTCATACACACTATACTGCTTCTCCCTGGACCAAGCTCTCTCACTAAAACACACACAACTGTAGACACAAACTATGCACAAACAGGTGAATTGTGCATCATTTGCATCCTCTATCTGCCCCATCTGATTCACAAAAGATATTGTGTTAAGGTATTACAGTGCTCATAAAGTGCAATTTGCCTTTTTTTTGCATCCGATTGCCATTATCCATGTGGCAGAATATGACTGATTTGTTGTGAGGGATCAGCCTGAGCTACCGGGGTCTGATCGGGGGGGCCTCAGGGTGCTTCCAAAGGCAATTGTAGAGGGGAAAAGGAAATTGTTAGAATTGAGAAAGGAGGGATAGAGGAGAACTTGTTTGTATTAGTTTATATAATAATAATCATATTTTTCGCACGCATTTTCAAATAAGGACATGTAAAGGGGCTCTATTCAGTCATTATCCATGACAAAGCCATCGTTGCCTCCTTTTTCTGTATCACAAAATGAACAAGTTTGAGCACCCCCCCAATTATAAGTCCTGTTAGTTACCAGGAACCCTGTATGGACACTCATTATTTCACTATACTGTAACTGGCGAAGTGATTTAGACTATTCCTGCAAAGAGGCTCTCTGCATAGAAAGGGCCAATATTGAGACCATTGTGTGCAGTTCACTCCTTCTGACTGCTTTGGGAACACACACACACACACACACACACACACACACACACACCAAAGCTGTGTTTAGCGAACCTGCAGCACTTGACTTCCCGTTGCGTCCCGGTTGGCTGGGGTCATAATCCATCTGCTCCAGCTGCATCTCTGATAGGCTGCTGTAGCCCCGGCCCCCTCCCCCAGCAGCGATGATGAGGGGGATGAACACATCTTTTACGACCTGGGTATTTATATACATGTATATATTAATACAGTTACATTTAGTGTATGCACATCAAAGGAATAGGAAAGGAAACTTCCTTGAAAATACGTTTTTAATTATTTTCCATTACCATGGTGTAAGAAAGCAAATTCAGGTATTTTAAAAAGTGGAACTTCATTTAGAACAAATGTATTGGGATGTTGGTCAGCTTCTATGTTTGATGTGAGATTACAACGAGCAAATAACTCCAGTGAGTCATGTTCATTGATAAAGTAGTGAAAATAAGACAATAACTACTATCTCAGTGATATCAATAGCTTGAATGGTAGAGAGCATCCCCAATCCCTGCATTGGAATAGGTAATACATTATGAGACAAATGACATCTCCACAAATGATGCAGTTCTCAAAATATAAAGTCTAAAAGTATCTGCCTGCCCATCATCACCTACTTACCTTGAACAAATATGTGGCCCCGCCCCCTCCTCCTCCACCCCCTTTCACTTGGGTTTTGTTGGACATGGGGGCGCTCTGTTCCTGACAGATCTTATTCAGCATAGGGTTGATCTGTAGGCAAGGAGAGAGAGAGAGAGAGAGCGAGTGAGAGAGCAAGAGAGAGCGCGCGTGAGAGAGAGAGAGAGAGAGAGCGAGAGAGAGAGAGGGAGCGAGCGAGAGAGAGAGAGCGAGAGAGAGAGAGAGATGTCAGCTCACATAAGAATTGCTTTCATGCTCTCTCCATGCATGTCAGTTGTGTGTGTGAGAGACTTGAGCAGTTGCCAAGCCACAGCTGCTGCTTAGTCAAAGGCTTTATCATTATAATGGTGAACCAACACCAAGCAGAAATATCCAGATGCACACAGGAACTGAGAGGCAAGGACCAATGCTGCCTCTATATGACAATTCAGTCTGCTATTTACTGATTTCCTGTCTATTGTAAAACCCCGTATTACTGACTGAATAAGACAACTCCGGAAAATATTTCCCAAAGAAAGATTTGACAAAAATGCATTCAACATATATACTGAATAGTTTGTTATTTTGCAGAGTTAAAGGATTGTTAAAAAAATAGAATTAATGAAAAGTCCCATGAATCCAAAATCACTAAAAACCCTTTAAATAGCTTTATGAAAAAAGTCGAATTTTTTGTCTCAGTTTATAAATGTTAATTGCAAGACTTTTGTTGTGGTTTGCTCCACCTGCTAGAGTCCATTTTGGTTATAAATATACAAAATGCCATGGCAAAAAACTTAAATTGTGCTTTTTAGGGGTTTCCCTTTCATGTAGTGTGTTATATAGATCTTTGTGCATCTACATGGTCTGCAAGGTCCACACTCCCACACCATTGGACTCCTTTGTTTAGTTCCCAAAAAAAACACTTGCACTTCTATTGCGGGCCATGTAAAAAATAAAGCACTTTTTGAACACTAATTTAAGTAAATATGTCACATTAGAAGCAAAAAATACAAACATGAACGTGAAAATGAGCAGAATGTCCTTTTTAAACTCAAAGGCTCCAAAGGACAACATCAACAAATGCATGGTTTGAAACAATCCACAATGACTATACCGTCAGTGTATTTTAAATTGATTAATCATGTTAACTAATAAAGCCAGATATTTAGTTTGATGTCTTCCAAGAAATCAAGTCCCTTTATAAAAATGGAACATGATGTTTTTTTGGCAAGTGATGCAGGGACTTTGCATTGCTGAGGTTTTGTGAATTGAGTGTCTGCCTTGTGTGTGCAATTATGCTGAGCTGCCTGGAGCCAGTCCTATGAGAGTGAGGGGACATGAGTTTCCTCTCCCCTCATCTGTCTGAACCGAAACTCTGAGAGGACGGGAGGGAGGTGGGGGCGGGACTTTGGTGACTTTGATTGACAGTGGAGGAGGTAAAGAGAGTGCATTGAGGCGTTCTCAGGTGAGCCTTTTTCAAGTCATTCCCCCTCTCAACCTGCTCTGTCATTGCAGCTTCTAACTCTAAGGTTGTGTCTAAGAGAGGAAAAAACGACACAAGGATGTTTGAACGGAAGAAGGAGAAAGACACGCACAGAGAGGACATAGTATATAAAAAGTATTCAAAAATAATTAGTATACTCATACTTTGACCCGAGGAAAGGCTAGTTGTGAGAAACTCTGTACTACAGCACACATAACCTTCGGAGCGACCCTTTGGAGAGAGCTGCTGAAGAAGAGGGGCAAATAAGAAAAGGAACATTAAACGACTTCAGGCTCACTCTGGAACAGGCCATTCTCTCTCTGCTGTCTACACTGAGCACTTCAAGGCACCCTGGTTAAAAACTAATAACTTGGTGATAGTGGTGAAGACCCCTCCCTGCAGGTACTGTTTACACGTTCTGCCGGCTGAAAGTAAAGTTAGGAAAGACATTGGGCACTTCAGCTGACTTATGTGGTGGGCGGTGGAGTGTTCAGGCACGTATGTGGGGGCCTTATTTACCTAAAATGTACGTTTTTATTGCTTATTTTAGCAATGTGATTGCATGATTCCTTCTCATATTATTTCAGATGCCCTGTAAGCTAGCTAGCTAGCTAACATAGCTAACCTTGTCATTTCAAATATATTGACAAAATCCTTACTCTTAAAGGTGGGGTATGTAATTTATTTCAGAAACACTTTTTGTTATATTCCATGGAATGCTCTTAACATCTCGATACAATGAATACATGAAATGCTTTGCCAATAAATAAGAACATTTCATCTGTGGAAGCCGTAGCACTGTAAAAAGCACAACCAATCATCTGAGCCGGCCCGGTTTAAGTAACTGGATGGCCTACCTGCCTGTCAGCCTTCCATCTGTGCACAAACTTATCTCATGCCCTCATTGGTCATGTGCGCGTTCGTGTGCGTTGGAGGAGGGGCTCTGTAAGGGAGTAGCAGATTTTTTCCGGCTGTGTATTTTCAAATTCTAGCGCACTCAAGCTGGTTTCTCCAACAAAAAAAAAAATTTCTAGGTACTTGCTTCTAGGTAAGTGGCTTTACAAAAGCAATTTACACAACAAACAAATATGAAATAAAATAAATAAGAAACCTAACCGAGATATATACAGAACGTGGAGAGGATGCTATAGTAGAAGCCAAGTCGGGAAGTGAAAGGGCGTGGATGAGGGCTTCAGCAGCTGAAAAGTAGAGTGAGGGTCGAAGGCAGGCAATGTCCTTTAGGTGGTAAAAAGCAGTTTGTGTGATGTGGTTGACATGTGTTTGGAAGGAGTGGGTGGGTGTGAAGATAGATGGGTTGACGTTTGAGCCTTCAATGTTATTATTCCTTAAAAACATTAAAATGTGCCTTCTTGGTTGTAGATTGGAAGAATAGGTCCTGGAGTTGTTGGCCACCAATAATCTTGCATGATAGAACACCTGTGTCAGTTCGATCTTATTTCATCAAAAACTCTCACTCCTCTTTAGGGACCAGAATCTTAACTAAATGCAAAAGTATAAAAGTTTATAGTAGTGTTACCCACCACAGGACTCTGCCTGCTCCCCTTCCCACAATCCTCTCCATTACCACTCTTCAGCAGGTAATTGAGTTCTATTCACATTTGCTTCAGTGTTAACGCCACTTTAACTCCTTTCTGAAGAAGGGGGTGTGGGGGCTCTTTGAAGTGGCTGCAGGTTCAGGTTTAAAAGCTTCTCCAGCGCTGATTGAGAGTCAGATTGTGTCGGAGCGGGAGGTGGAGTAGGAACCGCCGCTCCCTTTAAGACTGGGCCTCCTTCAAAGAGCAGATCGAGTCTTTGTGGTGATGGGGGGGGGGGGTGGGGGCTTGTGTAGTCAGGGAGCTCGGCAGCGTTGTCCAAAAGGGGCCGATGCCATCGCAGATGAGTAATTCCGCACACACTCTCATGACGTGTACAAAAGGGCTGAGAGCAGGGGGAAAAGAGAGAGCCAACAATACTTAGAGCAACACAGACCTATCGGACCCTCTGGCCTGGGGGGGGGGGGGGGCAAATGGAAGTGGATGAGTGCAGGACTGACGACTAGGAGTCTGTCGTGTGTGTGTGGGTGAAGATCGTGCCAGCATTCGACCGTTTCTTTTGATCTTCTTTTTTGTGTAGCCAAGTGACGAACATGTTGGTTTGTGTAAATGGATGTACACCCCTCCATCGCAGGGTCATTTTAATTAAAAACATTCGCTGTTTGATATTTGCATAAACCAGCTACTGCCAGTATTAATCAGGTTCTTATTTGTATGCGCGGGCATTATTGTGCTCTGGGAGGCAACACCGAGTAACACATGTATCACAGAATGAAGGTTATTTCGACTTTTGAGGTTAAAAGCTCTGTCGCTTGACACACAAAACAGCTTTCTATGTCTCCCCAAAGAGTTGTATGCCACCTATCACAATTTTACACAAAGCCACGAGAAAGATAAAGTGAGGGGTGACATTTGGGGAAAGACAGGCAAGCTTCAGTAGTTGGCAGAATAACAACTAAAGAGTTACTTATTTATTCTGTGTATTACGCATTCAATTTCAGTAATCATGATTATGTCGTTCCTCCACAACCCATTCCAGGAATATGGCAGTATCAGTGTATACACACCCAATCTAGGATAGAGATTTAAAACCGAGGAAGTTAACAAACGCAAAGACATTAGCAACTATTGATTGTCTTAATTCTTAGAGTTGATGGAATGTCCTTTTTGTTAAGAGAAACATAGTTTTCGAATAGATACGTCATATGAGCTTTTCCATTACAGCTAAGTCTAAATTTGATAAGTAAAATATAACACAATATCTTCAGTTACTGACTTAACTTTTCAGTTCCTACCCAAGGGATTATTTACGAACTAAAATTAGAAACGAAAATTAGTTACAATCACCTCTTTATGTTGACTAATTAAACTATTTATTCGGTCGACTATATTTTTTCTAGTTTGCTCATGATTTAAACACGACTTTTAGACTCGGTAATGCTGACTCGATATATTAGATCAAGAACAAAAGGCTGGTATAAACAAAATAGACGCCGTTACTAGTTATCTCAGCCTCTCAATGTACCTCAATTAACAGGCATTAATTGATAAGGAAAACAAAGAGATAAAAATCAGAAAAGCAAGATGGTATGCCTCTTTTGCATTTGTAATGACGATGTAACATCTTGTAGACAAAATGGGATACTCATTGAGTTGTCCAAGCCTTCAGATACAAATAATTGCAACAAGGTGAGGACCCATGTTGAAAGTAACCTGGCTTCTTTGGGTATCATAAATCAAAGATGTGTGTACTGAAGGCTTGACAAAAGCAAGAGTATTCATTGTCTACAAGATGTTAAATAGTCAGTTCTAAAGAGAATGGAATGCGAGCGGTACAGAATGCGGTTCCTGATTTTTCTTATTCATCTTTTTTTCCTATCAATGAAGTATGCCTGGTTAAATGGGGTGTACATTTGAGAGGATGAGAGAGGGCGAGTAAGGGCCGTTTATGTGTTAGTACCACATTTTTTGTTTTGATTCACATGAGTATCGAGGCACATACTCATGAGTTTTAAAGTCTGTGTTTTATCATGAGCACATAAAAAAACTACCAGTAGAGATCTTTAAAATATTT